ATTCGAATGGAATACAAACTGTGAAGAAGCATCTCAAAAATAAACTCATGTCACCTGCTGTACTGCAGTATCCAGATTTTACAAAGCAATTCTGTGTTACAACAGATGTAAGCAAATACGTTTGCGGTGCCGTAGTTAGACAGGAGCACAATGGTGTTCAACTGCCTAAAGCATCTGCTTTTAGAGCTTTCACTAAGGGGGCGTTCAGAAAGCATTTGATCATTTTTGATGTGTATACATCTTTGGTTTCGGTAGGGGTAAAATTTGCGAAGCTGTAACGCATAGCCCAGCAGAAAATTTCGAATTGTAATGCAGCAGAAAATTTTCAATTTCATTAGAAGCACCCCGTGTTTACTTGCTATTGCAAATGGTTGCATACATTTAGGCATATGCAGAGTAAGAGGAAATGTGGTTTAAATGATTGTTACTTCCGATAATGCAAACTCCGTGCACGCATACGGCTATGTACCTATACAATGCAAGTGGTTTTGTTCATAGCATGGTTTTAGGCAAAGGTTTAGTATTCTATTGATAAAAAAGGAAGGCGAAAATTTTAATAATACTGAAAACATTTTAACTGGGTCCGTTGATACCTGATGAACATATAAGAACATATGTATATACATATACATGTGTATAGATGATATAATAGCTCTGATCCAATACTTTTCGTGTAAAACCCTGTTAACACGTCAAACAGCAAAATTACTCTATGAAGTGAGAGTAAAAAGTGAGTAACAGCAAAAAGTACGGGAACAAAAAAAGCATCGAGTTAAATCTTGCAACTTCATTTTCTACACAACTCTCCAAAAATCGCTCTCATTACAGGATTTTGGAGTACGCGATCATTTTTCCCGTAACTTCCTGCAAGTTCTTGTAGAAACCTGTAAGTTCATTGAGTCCTGGATCAGAGCTAATACAAGATTGCACAAACAGAAGACGAGAGTAATAGAAAAAGCCTAAGAAACGAACTTAGTTTCCCATTTTGCAAACAAAATACATATGTATTCATGACTTTAACGTAAACCTAGCGACAGATAAAGCAGAACAACAGATTAAATTTCTAAAAGAATAACTAAATTTAGGAATATATAAAAATAGAAATGTTCAAACTACAAGCTCAAAAACAGTAATTAATGCCGTGTTTTCAAGATATTTTAACGCCCTTGAGTTACAAGTGTAATATTTCATCAATCATACCGATAATTTTATGTATTAAAAGATTAAAAATGAAAATAATTAAAAAAATAAATCAGCAAAATGTATAAAATTAAGTGAAGTTAATATTTAATTTCTAAACCAACCTACATGTGTATGTATGTAACAGAATTATAATTATAAAATAATCTCAGATTAAACCGATAAATTTTTGGTGTCCAACAAAGTTTTATCGATTATACTTGCGAAGAAGAGGAGGAATGTCAAATGTAAAAGTAAACAAAAATTGACGCTAGCAGGGAAAAGAGGTTTGTAAAGTTATTTTTAATAAAATATTTAGTTAAAATATATTTAAATATCATAATATGTGTAGCAGAAAAAAGTGACCACGGTGGCACAGAGAAAAAGCTTAACTTTGCCTCGAGTTGTGAGAATAACAAGCACAACCATTTTAACAACTAACGAGCTTTTATTGAGTTCATATTTATATATAAACGTACTTTTATGCTTTGTCTACGCATATGTTTACACATTTATTTATTTATTTATTTATTTATTTAGTCTACAGAAAAATGTTTTCTTACAGACAGTTGAGATAAAAAGATTTAGAATATTTAAGTATGTGTGATACATTACAGAGTGAAATAATTATAAATATTAACTTGTAAAGATAACAATGATATTCAATAGCAATTTGGGTAGCTGGCGAGGCCTTGTCTCCAGTCTACTTTTGTGTGCGGCGGGCGGAAAGACCTAGTTTCCGCTCCGCCCTGTATACAGGCCGTTGATCATGGTCGGAAAGGCCGAGCTTCCGATCCATGTTCCCGTAGTCGTTACTTTGTAAGTGAGGCAGGCGGAAAGTCCTAGTTTCCGCTCCACGCTATAGACGAACTGTTGGGCGAGGTCGGAAAGGCCGAATTTCCGATCCCTGCTCCTATTGTCCTACGCGGTCGCGGAAATATACGAAGCCGTTACAATTGTACTAAGCAGTCATAGATATTGTGTAATTTTTCGTTCACGGTTGCAGATATTAGTTTATTTAGTTAACTTGTTGAGCAATGTTTTCTTTATTACAAAAAGCGATTCAGATATGTCGATGCAATCATAATGCTTGTTAAAATCTTGGCATAAACACATCAAATATCATGAGTACCCATATATGTAATACTCCTATATTGGCAGTAAGAGCTAGTACCGTCCGAAAACACTACAGTACAGATATATCAATAAACACGTACGAAAGAAAAGGAACACTACGTTTATAAATAAACATGTACACGACACATTTACAAAAAAGGCACTCAAGTACACAATAATTGACAAAAACAGTACTAGACCGTCTCGCTTTGATTTCGGAATGCTTACACATTGAGATGTTAGCTTACTACCAATATAGAAGTATTACATATATGTGAGTACCTAGTACTCACGCCTTTTTTGACATTTTGCGCGAAATGTTTTCCATCATACGCGTCAGGTTTTGGGACAATTAGCTAATGTCTGCAGAAGAGGGTATGGAGGAGGTAAAAAGCGGTGATGTAAAATTTGAAGTAGGGAGCTCCGCATTTGTCCACAGCAATCGGTATTAGTGCATTTAACTATTTGAAGCATATACTGACTTTCTCGAACGTGTGTGCTGTACCACTTAGTACATGGCAATACCGGAACAAAATTTTCAGCTCTAGCATCTGCTTCAATGTACTCTGCAAAAACTTCGTAGCTGTCGATGACCATACCACTCCATATTTCAGCTAACACCTCACCAGCTTTACGAAAATTTATCTTCTCTAATATTGGATCAACAGTTTTCCCATTTCCATCTAGATGGTTGCCGAAAGAATCGTGAGGTAGTATTACCCCCGCCAATTCCCGACTTAATGGAGCCATTCTGCGTTCAACCCTATTAAAGGCGCTTCTACCAGGTGCGTTTGTGAATATAAAAATAGCATCGAGGTCATGTTTTTGAAAATGATGAATTGCATGGCAACCACCTTGGCGTATCTAGGATTTTCATCTGGGCCTCCGTCAGAAGACACAAAAATAACCGGCTTAAAATGTCCACAATTATCTTTTATGACATTTCGGAATTGAGTTAATGTGATAAGTTTTTCGAAATCAAATGCATGTGTGGATGCGGTCGATGACAAGCGCTTTCCACTTCTGATGGCAATATAAGATGGTCCAGAGTAGGTTACTGCTTCCGGACGTCCAATGCGCCATTTTGTATTACACATGTAGCATCAACGCTAGGTATCAACTTGTGTCTGGCGGCTATCATCCAATCGTGATCAGGAAGCGAAACTCGGTACTCCAAATGCATTAAGACAGGTGCCTTCTTGTTAGCAGCTGCTAAACCTATTGGTACACGAGCTTTATCATCTTGCGATAGAAAGCATGCTTGCAGCGGGCCTAGAATACTTGTCAGCGTTTCCAACAATCTAATTGTAGCGACACAGAAGTGCTGGTCCAAATGGCTTTTGTGATGATCATCCTCTGGCCGACTCAAGTTAACAGGCAAATATGTCGCGCTTCTAGATATTTGGTAACCGAGATGTCACAATTTTTCATAAAGGCCGCTTAAGGTTTGACAATAGAATTTCACTTCGCCGACGTTCGTTGGCAGAAGCACCAAACAAGGCTATGTCGACAATTGTTTTGAGTAACTCAGGCTGCTTACATTCAATACGAGGACGGCCTGGAGTACTATGTGTTACATTGACTGCGTCAACATTATATGCACTTATTCTACTAGTTTCGATTTAAGAGTCAACCTATGCTTTTTGGAGTGAATAGCGTGAAGATTTTTTCTTCGGAGATTTTTTTACAAGACTCAATACGTTTTTTGATCTTAGAAATTTCGTTTGAGTTTCCACGGAGCAATGCCACATTGTATTCAGCTTTCAGTAAAGAAATTTGATTCCGCAGAACATCCTGCGCTGGGGTATTACGACAAATAGACGTAGTAAACTCTTCAGAGTCCTTGCTATTGTGAACTACGTCTGCTGTTTCACTCTGGCTGCAGTCGGGGTCAACTGCAGGGGTAGAACTATCGTTCAGTTGAGGCGTTTCTTTATCATTGTTCTGAAATGCATAATACAATAATGCATTATGATTACAAACTTTTAATAAACTAAAATCTGTCATCACCTTTTCATTGGGTGTTAGAAGTACTGGGCAATATTGGCGATCTTAACTTTTGTCGTTGCCTGCTGCAGCTCTTTAATTTTATTTAAAACTAGCCAATGCCCGCTTACTTCGCGGCGCCTAATAAGAGCTTT